GCTAGGTGTGAAGCTCTTAATTCTTTCAAGAACTTCCCACAGACGGCGCCTAAATGATGGGTTTATTCCCATATCTAGAATGAACCGGTAGGAATGAGCTCGGATCTATCTGAATCGCCTCTGAACCGCCACTGGACCGCGAGAATACCTGCACGAACTCGACGCCGGAGGTGTCTCTGGCGAAGAGCCTCCGACGCTCAAGTCAGTACGAGAGAGAGAAAGGGAAAGCTGCTCTGAGAGAGCAGCAGCTATAGAGAGCAATATGGAATGAATGAGAGTTAAGGTTTAGGGCTACCTTTTTTCCTTTATATAGGAGGGAGAATTTACCTGAGATGCCCAAAATGCCCCAAGTCGGTGATCCTAAAAGGTCCGAATTGCCCCGGTCTATTCATCTCTCCTCCTTGCTGAGTCATCCCTCAGATTCCTTCTTATCCATAGATGAACAAAGGGTTCTAAATAAATGTGCCAAGTGTATGGAGTCGACTGCACGCCTTATGCCTCGAGGTATGAGGCGTCGACCTCGAATATCCCTTTTCCAACTCAGGTTCCCTCTGTTCGGTCATGCTCCTATGGGTTCTCGAATGCATGTCGACTCCTAAGAGGTCGACTGAAATCGAGTCGACTTTTATGAGTCGACCTGTGCGGGGTCCACCTTCTCGGTACGCTGCGTTGAGGCCGGATCGACTCGACCGAAGTCGACTTAAACATATCATCGACCCGAGTCGATGATCGAAAAGAGAGCCTATGGATCAATACGTTTTCATAGGGCTATATCACACGTTATTTCCACATCATCTTTCCACTAATTTTCTCTCCATTTAAACACACACCCACATCTCTACACATTCATTTAAATACAAATATAGGACTCATTATATCCATTCATTCAATATAAATTTTAATATCCTATTTTCAATAAAAATAAAAATTTAATATTTTTAAATTATAATAATAATTTTTGGTGTAGAAGAAGTGTAAGAATGATATATATTTATATGCAAAAAATGATGATATAAAGTATAAAAAAATGCTCAACAGATAGAATTAAAAAAAGGCTCAACGGATACAAAAATAATTGAATTAAAATTAATTAAAAAAGAACAAAAAAAGCTTGCAAAGAGCCGTTGAAAACAAAAAAGAAAATGGAAAAAAACACCGTTCAGACCATTGAACGACAGTGGTGGGCCCATTCATTTGCACAATTAAATGGATGACTCACAAATTTAAACGAATGGATTGAACGGACCAATAAAAGATGCCCTTAGAGCATCTATAACAATAAACCCTTATAAATCTCCTTTTACTTTTACCGAGGTGGCACATCATTCAAAACTTTATTTTTACTCCTACAATCATAAACCTTAATAAGAGCATCTACAATGCATTGAGTCTAGTCTTGTCTATGTGACATGTAAATAAATCCAAGTATTTGATGACATGAATAAAATTATATAAAATTGCTAAAATCCACTCCAATGCAAAGAAACTAGGTCTCTACTTGGGTCTAAAATAGACTTAAGGGTAGACCGAGTCTCTTCTTTGGGTTGCCACGTCAGCAAGACTCAGTCTACTTTTGTTTGCATTGGAGAATACATTTTTTTAGACTAGGTCTATTTCTTAGGTGGCATACAATTTTTTGTAATTGAACCCAAAGCATTGTGGATGCTCTAACAATAAACCTCATAAACTTACTTTTTAATAGGTCCCACATGTTTCTCATGTACTTTTAATTGATATTATATTCCTATATTTTTAATAATATTTTAAAATACAATTACACTTTTATTTTTATTCGGTCTAAATATTTCTATTTTCATATTTTATTTTTATATTTTTAATAATATTTTAGAAATAAAACTACACTGTTTTTTTTATTCTGTCTAAATACTTCTTATATTTAAAAATACAACTACACTTTCACACCTTATAGTTCACTTCTTATATTTAAAAATACAACTACACTTTCACATTATAGTTCGTATTTCACTATCAAATATTTTGTTACTTTTTTAAGTGAAATTATTTATTATATTTATTATAACGTTGCTTACTAGAAAAACTTAATCATATTAGCAGATTAAATCTTTTTAACCTTTTTAGTAATATAAAATTTGTAATTTAATTATTTAGTTATTAACTTATTATTAGGATAAAATCCCCCTATATATTATTTCAGTACGTGCTGAGCTTTAGTGGCAGTCTCACATGCTTCGGGATATTATGTGGCAAAATTACATGTTTCGTTATTAGCCTTGAGTAGATTTTAATTTACTTCAAATCCAAAAAAAGTTAGGCCGGATTATCCATAAATGTGTTGATTATTTATGGTCATGTTACATGTATTAATTGCATTTTAACATAATTTTTTATTGTAACCATTAAATGTATTAAAGTTAGTAACTTTTGTATTTTTTATCAGTTTTACCTATATAATATATCAGATTAATCATCTTTTGATGAGGTTCGATTTAGCATCCATATTGTATAAAAAAATAAATTTTATTAATTTTTATAACAATAATAATTATTTTTTAATATTAATTAGAAAAATAAAATTATTTATGAATTAATATATTTATATTTCAAGTAGTTATACGATATAAGTTATAAAAATACTGTAATATAACACATTTAAGTCGCACAAGTAACAAATATCATTCTAAAATATATAATAATATATATTTTTTTTTTGAAAAAGAAAATAAACCTTAAAATAAATTTTCTTATTAAGTTTTAAAATTTAAGAATTATTTTTTAACAAGAACATGTGTAATACACGGCGTTGCACTAGTTTAATTTTGTTTAAAAGAATTTAAGAGAAATAAAAAACTATGACCAAGTAAAGCAAAAAAAGGAAAAAGATTATAGAAAAGGAAAAGAGACTGTAATTTAATTGTACTGTGTCAAATGTGAGCCATGTTCTCATTCACTCACTTCTTTGCGCGTGTTTGCACTCCATTATTTGGAAATCAATCGTCAGTTTCACGTTTAAAGCACTTCTTTGTCTTTCTTTTTATTCTTTTTTTTTTATTATCGGCTTTTTAAGAGCTTTGTGATCACAATACCGGTTTAAAATCTCAAATTTCAAACCTAACGAATATAATGGTAAACCTTTGGGTTTTGAGTTTATAAACCTCCCAAAAGCTCCCTATTAAAGTTGCTCTTATAGTTATTGGAGGTTTGTGATATTATGAGTGAGAATGAGGTTTAAATGATGTGGAGTATTGAGAATGTAAAAAGTAAGATTTATAATAAACTTTTGTGAACATCATCTTTAACAACAAAACCTCTTAAATCTCTTTTTTTAATTTTTCAATGCGCCACGTCACTCAAAACCTTTATCTTACTCCTACACTTCAAACTTCTAATAACAATAAACGTCACATATTTATCTTATACATGTCCCACATGTTCCCTACTTATTTTATCTAAAATTATTATTTTAATTTTTCCTACTATCTTTTTTCTTATTTTTTACATTTATTTAATACCCACTTGGAAGATTTATGTGAGGTTGAAATCTTTAAAAAACACAAACCTCTAAGGCCCTATTTGGTATAATGGAATGAATATCATAAGGAATGGAATGAATTGAAGAATGAAATGATTATGGGAATAAAATGAAATAAGTTTTGTCATTGATGCGTTTGATATGTAGAAGGTATAAGACATGAATGAAATGACATTATCATTTTTTATTATAAAAATAAATAAAAGCTTTTCTTAAAAAATAATATATTTTTTATAAATTATATATAAATGTTTTTTAATAATATATAAAAATAAAATAATATATTTTTTAAATATATATAATAAATAATATATTCTTAAAAGTAATATATTTTTAATATATAAAAACTAATATATTTTAATAATATATAAATATAAAAAGTAATATATTTTTAATAATATATTTTTTTATTTTTTAATTCAACAATAAATAAAAGTAAGTTTTCATTTGTTTTTTGAATTTTATTTTTTATAATAATATATTTTAATAATATATAAAAATAAAAGTAATATATTTCTAGTAATATATATTATTAATATTTTTTATAATATATTTTTAATAATATATTTTTAAAGTAATATATTTTTAATATATAAAAAATAATATATTTTTATTTACATATAAAATAAAAATAATATATTTTCAAAAATAATATATAAATGCTTTTATTTAGTTTTATTTTTATATAAGTATTTAATATATCTAATTAAACAATAAATAAAAGTAAGTTTTCAATATTTTTATTTGAATTTATTTTTTAGAATAATTTTATTTAATATAATTTAATCATTATTTATAATATATATTATATATTTATTTATTATTATTATTTGTTAAGTTTATTTTTTGAAAAATTGATTCCTACACAAATGAGAATGAAAAAAACCTTCCATGAACTATTGAATGGATAATCTCATGGGGATGGGTTTTGTCATTGTCATTGGAATGTTAAAAATTACCAATTATAAAATAAGGAATGAGTACGAGAATGATCATTCCATTCTCACGTCATTCTCCGGTACCAATCATGCCAGACGGTTTACCAGTTCAAACCTCTCCAAAACTGCTCCGAAAGATGCTCTGGAGACTTAGCGCTGGACTTTTAAGAGCATCTCCAATAGAGTGTGCATTCTTCCATTCCATTGCCACATGTCTCAAAAAATTCAATGCGGCATGTAAAATTTCTAGAAGTCTTTCTAGATGTAGAAAGACTTTTAGACATCTTCTATCTATATTATATTATTTATTTTATATATCTCTCTCCACCAACTAATTATTTTCTTACACGTGTCAATTTATTCTACAATTGACATTTACCATTGGACCACAACATACATATCAAAATAGACATGACACTAGATGCTCTAAGGAGACGTGTCCCAAGCTCTACAATATCTGCAGAAATCCGTCGCGCCATTGAAACCCATTTGCTAATACCAAAAATCACCCGAAAATCCGAAGCTTTCAACTGTCGTCGTTTTCAAATTTTATGGGGTTTTCCTTGTGCCCCCAACCACTTAATTCTTCTTTCATTCATCATCGATTCCGGCCGTCCATTCCGCTGGGATTTTACAGGACGAAGGTTTCGTGTCCGCGAGCAATGCAGCAAGGAGAGGAAACTGAGAATGCGGGAAAAGTGTCGGTTCCTCACGTGTTGACGGTGGCTGGCTCCGATTCCGGCGCCGGCGCCGGCATCCAAGCCGACCTCAAGGCTTGTGCCGCGCGCGGTGTTTATTGTTCCACCGTCGTCACCGCAGTCACAGCTCAGAACACCGTCGGTGTACAGGTGCTGTCATAATTTACACATTGAGTCGAATTCAGAAAATTCATTAATTTATGTGTACTTACATTGATTTTTGGTTTTTTTTATGCCGTCTTCTTTATCTCTTCACTCAACCATGGTTATCGAATCGGATTTGAATGATCTGATGTTATCATCCCATTTCACCATCCTTAAGAAATTATGCTTTTTGATTAGGGTGTGAATATCGTCACTGAGGATTCCGTTAGGATGCAGTTGACGTCGGTGCTATCTGATATGCACCCTGATGTTGTAAGCGATATTTTAACAGAACCTTCTTCGTGTTTATTGCCTCTCTTTTTCATTTTACATGATTCTTTTGTGCTGTGATGATGATGATGATGATGATTGCTGAAATGACAGGTCAAAACAGGTATGCTGCCTTCACCTGGAATAGTCAAGATCCTCTGTGAAAGCCTCAAGGAATTCCAAGTGAGAGGTAAATTCATACCAGCACGTCATCTAAGTGATTGTTGTACACACTTTTGGGCTTAGTTTAGTTAGTAGTGGTTCATTTTTACAATTTAAATTTTCGTGAAGGAAGCTCTGGTGGTAGATCCTGTCATGGTATCTACAAGTGGTGATGTGCTGGCTGGTCCCTTGATTCTGTCGAGCCTAAGGTATTTTTTGCAATACAGGGTGCTCCTTTTATTCTTATTGGTTGAGATCATTACATCTTCACCTATGTATCACAAGAACTGCTGTATATTGAGCAAGAATGAGCATGAAGTGATTTCTAGAAACATGTCTTTTCATGGTTACCCTTTTCAACTATCTTTCCAGGATGTCTTTAACGATCATGGCTAAACACTACCTATGCAGCCACTTGGTTATACCAAAGGGAAAGTCTGTTGTATTATTTGATCTGATTGGTGAATTGATTGGATACTCCCAAGGCTCAATACAAGTTTTGAGCAGTTCATTTAATAAACCAATGTATTCATATTCCAATAAGAGCACCAAACTTACGATATAAAGTAAAATCATGAAATAGAAAAGAATGGTACAAGATTATTTTCTAACCAAATTTTTCTTTGGATATCATTCATATGAAGCTCCAGTTGCATTTGTGCCCTACTAGTTTATTTTTCTGTAAGTATACTAAAGAATATACTTTATCACTAACCTTCCCCTTTCAGCAACGAACAAATTCATGAAACTTGCATTTGGA